TAGGGAAAGTAACTTTTGGCCCTTTCTTTGCTTGGTTTAGTTTTTGTGTTTGCTCTGGCAGGAAGCCCAAAGTCAGGGTTGGCACCCACAGGTTATGGAGAGAAGTGGGGAGATTCTTTTCCTCCCTTTTCCAGGCCTCCAAAACCCAGCTGATGCTCATCTGCCCCAAACCCCGGCCCCAAGCTCAGATATTAGCCAGCCAGGATGAAAGATGCTCAACGAGCTGGAGCCTTGTGCCAGGCACTCAAAACAAGTCAGTAAATCATTCAGCAAAGCTGGTTATAGGAACACGTTGAGGGGACAGTGTGGTTTGTGAACCAACCGCATCTCTTTGAGCACTGGTAAATTTGGGTCTGTTTCTAGGGAATAAACAATTCTCACCTCTCCCATGACGGCAATTGGCATCTCCCCTGTTGCCTGGGCAACACGATGCTCAACCAGATAAAACATATATTCATCATAGAGCAGGCGAATGAGGTGGAAGGAGCCAAAGCTGGCAGCACTGCGCAGGGTGAGGTCACGGATCACCATGGAGCTGGAAAACGGCCAGGAAACAAAATATTTGGGTTGTGTTTTACACTTGCATCACAGCTGATGTGAGTTCTTGATCCTGACAGAGTGCTCTGTTTCTGCCTCTGGCTCAAGAGTATCAAAGCACCATATAAGAAATGAGTTGATGGAGCATCCTAGCCCCATCCTGAAAGGATACAGGAGACACAACTGTACCCTTCTGTACCAGGGCAGAGCAACAGTTAACTAGAGTTGCATGGGAGTAAAGAACTTGGCCTTGGCTTTTCAAGGAGTTATTGATATGCCCTAAGCCCCATGTGGAAATATCTCCAAAATGAGAAAGAAAATGTACCTATAGAAAGACCATTTCAACAGGAACTGCCTGGCTGCCTTGGGGAAGCTGGGACTGCCCTCGTGGTGCTTCAGGACTTGAGTAACAACATTATCCAGCCAACTTGCCCACTGGTCCAGGGAACTTTGCTGCTGCAGAGTGAACTTGAAATCCTGCTCCAGTTTCTGTACCATGCCTTCCTTGCACTGGCACACCCATGAGGCTTGTTCCTGCTCGGAGAGAAGGGTTGAGTTACTCATGCCAAGCCTGAACTGTTGTTGCATCCCATCCCAGGAATTCAACTTGATTTCTTAGCAGACAAGAACTGTGCATCAGCTCGGAATCCTATCTATCTCCTCCAATTCATCCAGACTACTCCACAATATTATTATTATAACTATACTACTGTTGGTACCACTACTTCTTACAGAAGTTCCTTAATGCCTGCTCCACTCTTCACAGTGAGATGGCAAACTTAGCTGGAAAAACAACACTAAAACATGAAATTGTTCATTTAATTGCTTTTTAGTACTGGAAATAAGATGCTGGCTACCAGCAGACAACCTCCTTGGAGAGCCCCAGTTGTAGACAATACAATGTAGACAAAGGCATCACCAGTTACCTGCACATTGGCGAAGTCGACCCGGTTGAGGTCACTGAGCATCTGGTTTATCTGGGAGGTGTTCTGCAGCACGGCCCGGGCAGCCTGGGCCAAGTGGTTCAGGGACGTGTATCTCCGTAGCGTCTGCGCAAAGGCACTGACCACCCCGACCTGCAACACAGCCACAGGGCTCCGTGAGGAGGAGCCCATGGAGCTGGGACATGTGTTTAGCTCAAGCACACAGCACACAGAAGCTGGTGTACCCTGCACAGCCCTGCCCGTGCTGCTGTTCGAAGCACACACGAGCTCCTGCAGAGCAGCTCTTTGGCAGCATCCTGCAAAACAGCCTCTGTGTTTCTTTTCTTTAAGCTAACAGAGACCAGCAAGGTGAGAACAGGCTGCAAGAATACGTGGCTTTAGGAGAGGGGGAGTAGGAGCCTTGCGTTCAGTCTCCAATGCCGTTCAGTCCATGAGGTGTCCTGTGGTTTTTAGCAGGACGAACCTCATTCCAGTGCAGAGATTTTCTTCCACAGAGCCTTTATCTGTGATCTTAGGATATAGGAATGGTTCAATGGATGGAGGATTATCACCTACTGGTGCAAAGGAATTTCCCTACTGGTCATAGAACGGTTTGGGTTGGAAGGGACCTTAAAGCTCCTCCAGTTCCAACCCCCTGCCACGGGCAGGGACACCTTCCACTAGAGCAGGTTGCTCCAAGCCTCCGTCCAACCTGGCCTTGAACACTGCCAGGGATGGGGCATAAGTATTTTGGTTCATGATTATCCATTACACCAAGTTAGTCTAGAGTACACATGGGCAAACCCAAGCAGTGATTTCCAGTCACTGGAAAACTACAACACACAGACACTCAGTTCATATCTCTGACCTGTAACATGCTCCTTCTGCTTACCTTGGTCTGGACAATCTCGGGGGGAAAATCACTCATTGCATTCATCAGCCACCCTTCCAAACTCTTGGCAAAATTACGGATTGCCTGGGTAAGTGTGCCTGCAAAGAAGTCTGCACAGTTAGAAAGGATGTTCCATATCATCTTTGGACACCACTTTCTAGCTTAGGACTGCTGTGGAAAGCACAGCCTCTAATCTGGTTAGCTGTGATCTCCATTAGCATCAAGGAAATCAGCTGAGTCCTGAGATGCATTCAAAGTTTTCTTATTCTCTAATGTTGTTACTCAAATTTACTTCTTATGCTTATCCTTTTCCTTATTTTCTTATTCTTTCTTATTCTTTTCTCATTCGTAGTCCTTCTGAGCATTCTGCAGATGTTGAAATCTGCTCTTTACAGACACCCATAGCCCCAGCACGTAGACTGGCAACAGCAGCTCAGAGGGATGTGGCTTTCCAGTACTTCTCTGCCCATCACTGATCTCCCAAACGGAAGTTAATCCCAAATTCCCAGGAGGTGCAGCACATGACAGGATTGTCCTACCTAAATAAAGATACCACCTCAAAGGAAGCATCTCACAAGGATTAGCTCTTGTGCATTGAGACTGTGCTTTTACCTTGACTCCTAGCCAAACTCAGGAGATGGGATATGCCATAAACCAAGTTTTAAAAGGCATGGAATTTCCAGGGGCCACAAAGTACCATCAATGCAGAGCAATGCTGCAGAAGGAATATTGCTTTGCCGTGGTATTTTAGCTTGCATTCAGAACAAAACCCTCTAAATCTGCTTTTAGAATGGAAATCTTTGTGGCAGCTGGTAGCCAGCCTGAGAGTCAGAGATGGCCATTTGTCAGACACAACATCCCATGACCACGCTGCAGGATACTCACTGGGCACTGGTCTGAGCACGTCTGGGATGAGAATCTCCACCAGGGCCTGGTACAAGATGTGATCACAGCTTCTCATCCACTTGAGGATGGGTTCGTGTTTGCACAGATTGATCAGCTTCTCTTTCGGGAGGGTTGCTTCATGTTCCTCGCTGTGGGAGGAGGAGGAGGGAGGCAGTGTTAGCAGCAGGTTTGCATTCAGTGTGTTCACTCTTCTCTTGATTTCTAACCCATTTTCAGCAGAAAAAAAGGAAAAGCCATTCACGTTTCGTTTAAAAGGAAATCTCTGATTGTTTGTACAAGTCTTGTCTGACTCTGCAAGCACCTCTCTGTCCATGGGCTCTGAGCACAGTTTTCCCTCAAGCCCACATCTCCTGGTGCTTGCCCTGCCTGCCTTCGCTTCTGTCTTTATCCTCCATTGCCTTTCACACACTCATATCTCTGTGTACATGGGAATTGTACCTCAGTACAGACATTTCATCAAGCAAAGGCTCCTCCCTACAGACCCAGCTATTTCAATCATTGAAGCACAGAATCACAGAACGGTTTGGGCTGGAAGGGCCCTTAAAGCTCATCCAGTTCTAACCCCCTGCCATGGGCAGGGACACCTTCCACTAGAGCAGGTTGCTCCAAGTCACTGTGTCCAACCTGGCCTTGAACACTGCCAGGGATGGAGCATTCACAGCTTCCTTGTGTAGCCTCCAGTGCCTCAGCACCCTCACAGGGAAGAACTTCTGCCTTGTATCTAACCTGAACTTCCCCTGTTTCAGTTTGAACCCATCACCCCTTGTCCTGTCACTACAGCTCCTGATGAAGAGTCCCTCCGCAGCATCCTTGTAGTCCCCTTCAGACACCAGAAGCTCCTCTGAGGTCTCCACGCAACTTCTCTTCCCCGTTTCTCAAACCTTTACACCTCTCCTCTCCCTTCTGCTCTAAACCTCCTCAGCTGTAGCAGTGGCCACAAAAACCTAACAGCAAATGTTGTTTGAGCAGCTCAGCCAGTACTGACAGATACTACAAATGGTTTCACAGTGTTTAACACCTTCAAATGCTGAATGTTTTCAGAGGGAAAAAGATTTGGTGTTTGATGAGAACAGAGTGTATTGTCTCTAGCTGAATAAGGTCAACCAAGGTTACATTATTTTCACTTTATAGATGTATGGAAACTTTTTCTGCTTGATTAATGCATAAGATACTTGGTTAAACAGCAAGAAAACTGAAGCCTTAATGCATTGCCAGCGCATCAAAGCAGAGCTGCTCAGATGCTGCATTGGGAATTGGGAATTTGGAAGGGATTTTCCCCATGCGTTACATTAAAAACATTAAAGCCAAGCCTTGGACATACTATAAAGATACTTGAAGTCTCTGCCTGAGCAGTTTTAAATGAACTCCACAAGCATACTGCTAGAACAGCCACATGGAGGAACTGGACATCAAGTACCTGAACTTTCTGTTAAGTGGAACCATAATCTGCATTTTATTGTGCTTCCAGTTTGCCAGTTTGATAATATTTTGGGTTTATATTTGTATATATATGAAGCTGAGGGAGGGAGTGATTTACCTATAACTGTGGTATGGAGAGGTACTAGAGCACACAGCCTTAGCAAGACAGGCTGGTTTAGACAGAACCCTGCAGAAAAGCTGCCTCCAGCATCCAAGTGAGCCTATCTGTACCTAGCACAGCTCTCTGGGTGCTGCAGTGTGCCTTGGAGATACAGCTGGAAGTAAAAGAGATTTGGAAACAATCAAACACAGTTACAGTGATTCTTTGCAGGAATATATCCACTGGGTAACACCCACTGAGGATAATTCTACAGATTATTATAGGGTATTTGCTAATTACTCAAACTTTAAGGCACACCAAGATCTGGATAGCCAGCCAATGAAGCGAGTCAGTCTCAATGTCGCTAAAACCTCAGAGCCTGAAATGTCACTTCAGATGGATTCCTAATGGCACAGAATCCCTACTGTCTGCACTTAATGACCATTTACATTCTCATTCATCCCTGCATCTTGGATGAGCACTTATTACAGGAGGTTTAAGGCACAGAGATGTACATAATCAGAGCAGACGCTTTCCTCAGAAGGTCTGAACTTCGTGTGGTTGTTATGATAAGAAACACTCCTGACAACCTTTGTAATGATTCTGCTGGGAAGCAAATATTTTTGAGGCCTACCAAGCACTCAAAATGCCTAATGAAGCTGAAAATACTGCAGGCATTTTTAAAAGGATAAATACCACCCCAAAAAATGGAGCATTCTGAATGAATGGAAGCGTGTACCTGGACGGCAGAGCAGTAGAGCCATCACTAGATGGTGTTTTAGGACTCCAGAAGGATTGCCACAGTTTCTCAATATAATGAAACTGAAGATTCATGACAACATCCAAAGTCACCTAACAACAACAAAGAACAGAAGTCATTAGCTGCTCTGCCAGCATCTTGTCACATGGTGTGAGCATAAATTTAATGTGCTGCCGTTTAGATTAAATAATTTACAAGAAGAATAACAGGAAGTGCATTAGTTTAGCAATCAACAGAGCATAAAACTTGTCACAGAATGAAAAAATAACTTAAAGCACAATATTTAAGTTGTATTAAGTAGTAAATCAAGCATTCCCTATCATATTCTAGCTTTTCCTAAGAGGATGATATAAGATGAGCACATGAATTATATCCCACCTCAATTAATAAATCCATTTAAAACATTCCAAATAATCACCTCGCAGTGTCGCCTGTAAAGAAGCTGCAGAGTTTTCACATCATTCATGGTCACCCCTTCTTGCAAGAGGATGCTGCCTAGATCAGGGGCTGGGAACTCAGGAAAGACATGGGTTACATCTAGGGAAAAGAAAAGATTGGGAAAGATGGTGAGAGTTAGGAGCACTCAGTCACATGGGACTACAGGTGAGCACAAGGTGCTGCTGTTGCAGGTGACGACCTTTCATGTTTCAGTTGGGATGAAACAGGAGAAATAAGACTGATAATCCAGTATTCTCCCTGATTCATGTTGGCATAGGGGGCAAAAAGAGAACAAGCACAGCCCATTTATTCAGTGTAGAAAGGGAATTGTTTTCTTTCTCTGTGTAATAAAAGAAAGAAGAATACATTGTCCTCTCTGCCACGCTTCCCATTAGATTTTCTCCCAAGCCTGATAAATGCCTCTCTGGTATTTTGAGAATACAATGGAGCACAGCAGATGGATAAGGAGAAATTGTATTTCAGAGCTGGCTGGGATTTGCTGTCTCTACTGGAGGTGATGGAGACATGTAGATCCAGGACCCGCAAAGCCAGTGAGCCTGTCTCACAAGAAGAAGGTCCACATGGATCATCTGCCCTCAGATAGGTTATTGCAGCCTTTGCAGTGAACACAGTCACTCTTCTCCCTGCAGCTGCCTGTCTTAGCCAGGGTCTTCAGGACCTCCAATCCTTCCATCCAGTTTGGATAAATCCAGGCAGATTAAGAACATACTAAGAGGGAACCTGGCAGCACAAGGAAAAAGCCTTCCTGTGGGTAGAGGACTTTGCAAATAAACGTAGCAAGTGTGACATTAAAAGAGCTTATTAGAATACGTACTATGTATAAATACCTATCTATGTTATATATCTATGATAAATAACACTGTGGATTTATTACAACAGCAAACAAATGCAGAACAGCCAGGGCTTGCTGGACAAGACCTTCCTTCCTCGTAAAGCTATAAGGCCAGATGTCAGATATCTAACCCATTAAAGCAGTCTCCTCACCTATGAATTGCTGGTGATGTTGACTTTGAGCGGCAACCGACTGCTCTGGCGTAGTGTGAGAGTTACTGTTGGAGCCACTCTCTGACATTCCGTCCATCTTCTGAGCTGGTCTATACCTAAACATAGAGCGTGGCTTGGGGTTTACACAGGCATGAGCAAACATACACGTTTGTAACACAGGCATGAAGACTTCTGCCTTCGCCGTGTAATACATGAGGCTGCACTCAAGCAGAGGGGGGAAATGAGAACCTCCTTTCAAAATCACTCCCCAAGATGGAATTAAAAGGACTAAGAAGTTTGGCCAAGGTGACACCAAAAGAAAAGGAGAAGCAGTCACAAGACTAACCACAGCACTATTTAACTTGCACTTTTGCAACCCCCTCTCTCCCCAAAAAACCCAAAATCCACCCAAACACAACAGAAGCTTCCAAGTCCCTTACACTTATTTGGGACAAATAACTCCAAAGCTGAGGTCCTAAAACAGTTTGGTCACAGGGACACCATGAAAAGGGGCACATGTGGTGGCATTCTCTGTAGCAGTGGGCTGATTCAAGCTGCTGGCAAACAGAATAGGCAGATAATAGAATCATGGAATGGTTTGGGTGGGAAGGGACCTTTAAAGGCCACCTAGTCCAGACCTCCTGCAATGGACAGGGACATCTTCCACTACATCACCATGCCAGAGCCACATCCAACCTGGCCTTGAATGTTTCCAGGGATGGAGCATCTCCCAGAGTCGTTGTTGGACCCTTCCACTACTTAGTGCAGCCAGTGCCTTGCAGCCGCCTCTTCCACAGCTCAGCTCTGGCACTTCAGCAACAGTTGGGTTTGAACTGTCCCAACATGCTCCCTCTGTTCCCAAGCAAAGCCAAATCCCAAGATGTGGTCTGCTGTGTCCTTTGGGAAAGGACCCTTGCCCTTGGCAGCATCGGGGGCACAGCCAGTGAGCTCCAAGCTGCTGGAGCACCTACCTTTGCTTCTGGTGGACGGGCTGCTGCCTCATTGCCATGTACTGTGTGTCCTCCTGCAGACGGTTCAGTGGAGACTCCGGCTTTAGGCGGATCCCGTAATAATGATACTTGGAGTTTCCCCTGGAAGTGTTGAAATTGCTCAGTGTAAGCGAGTTAATGGAAGGGACATCACAGCCCTGCTATTTACTCTTAGGTTTGCTTTGACAATACACCCTGCTTCTTATAGCCCACTTAGCTTTGCTGCCAAGCACTATGAGAATTCCTGAACTGAGGAACTAATGAATGCCATCATCCCCCATAAAAACTAAAACCACGAGTCACAGAGTTCAGTGACATCCACATGTAAAACCAAGCAAGGTTTGTTGCAAGTAACCCGTGGTAACTGGAGAAGAAGAGACATGTGTTACAATACAAAGTGTTATTAAACAGAATGACAGGAAGGCCTCAGGGGATGCTGCTATTTGATTAGGATTTAAGGATTTGTTTTTTTCCATAAAAACAAACTTCCATCTTTATCGAGGCTTGGATAAAACAAGCCTGACTGAACAGCCAACTACGATAAGAAAAATGTCTTTCTGTTGCCAGCACTTTCACAGCAACAGCAAGAGGCTTTGATGTGGCTTTGTTCTTGGAGTTGCTCATTTTGGGAGGTTTTGTGAAAACTAAAGCTTTTTGCAAGCAAAAGAGGCTGTAATTCTTTTCCCTTGGCTGGCCAGTGAAGCTGCTGCCGTGCTTCTTGGGAGAACATCTTTCCATCACATTAGACAGATGTGTCAGCTAAAGTTTTTCCACCAAACTGGAATTTTTCAATCCCCAAGCATCTGCTTTTGGGAGGGAAAAGGACAATTATGCAGCCATGGATACATGACAGTGTGTCCAAGTTGGCTTTAGCCAATCTGTCCCTAACAACAGTTAAGCTGAGAAGGGGAGCAGAGGAAGGTCTCCAGAGCCCTATATTGGGGATGCTTCAAATTCATCTGCTGTGTCACCATGACAGGGTCTGGAGGCACCTCAAATCCACTGATGCTTCCCACTGGAAAATTCAATAGAGAAATCTAAGAGAGGAATATTTGTCAAAGAATTAACCCTTTCTTCCTTGTTGATTTGTTTGGTCTTTGGCACTGTACCAAAGGGGTTTGCACACACCAAGTGCTCAGGTATGAACTACACCTTGGCCGTGTCTTAAGTGATTTTAAGTGCCTGCAAATGAAACAACTGCTGCATTTATAATTTCAATTAATGACTAAGCAAATAAGGGTGGGCAGCTATTTCCATATTTACTGAGGTTTACTGTATCCTTCCCAGCCTGCACATTTGCAGTTTTAAGTGGGGTTTTGCTTGTTTTTTTCCTTTAATCCTTGATGAGATTAAAGATTTTCATTCCTCTAAAGAAATTATTTCAGAGCTCTTGCACTTGAACCAATCTAAGGAAATCCAAACTCTTCCTATGACTGTTGCCTCCACATTCCAGCTGTGGAATGCCCTGGACACATCTGTTTTTGTTCTTCTTTAGAAGCCCAAATACCAAAGCTTGAATTTGGTTATAAAATCTTGCACAATGAGAGCAATCAGTATTCCTCTAGCATATCATCTACTTGTTTAAAGTCAAAGCTGGGATAAATGCACACTCAGCTCTGCAAGCCATGCAGGTTCTTTGGATGCTGCCTTGTAGGACACACATAATTAAGAGCAAATATAGCTTCTTATATGATGCTTTTGTTGTAACATCCTATGGAGCTTTGATGTTTTAAAAGAAAAAACTCCATCACAAGTTCAGCTTTGGGTATTCAAGAAATAATCCATTTCCATCTGTACAGCTTGTCTGCATCCAGAGATGGATCCAATGGGAGAAACCATTGCACAGCACCAGAATTTGGGGCTCTGCAGCTGATTGTCATGGGTTAAACCCAGCCAGCAACTCAGCACCACACAGCCCCTCACTCACCCTCCCTCTTCCCCTTCCCCAGGAGGGATGGGGAGGAGAATGGAAAGAATGTAAACTCGATGGGTTATGATAAGAACAGTTTAATAACTAAAGCAAAATATACTTTTACTACTATTAATAACAATGATACGGGGAATAACAGGGGGGAAAGGAAAAACTAAAAGGGGAAAGGAAAAACAAACAATAAATACAGGTGATGCCCAATCCAGCTGCTCAGCACCCACTGAGTGATACCCAGCCCAACCCGAGCAGCGATCTGGGCCTTCCCAGTGACTCCCCCAGTTTCTATACTGGGCATGACGTGCTGTGGGATGGAATAGCCCTTTGTCTAGTTCAGGTTCAGTGTCCTGCCTCTGCTTCCTCCTGGCTTCCTAAGTCCCTCTTCACTGTTAAGAGCGTGAGACTCAACAGTCCTTGATCAGGGTAAGTGCTACTGAGCAACAGCTAAACCACTTATCAGCACTGTTCTCAGGCTGAAGTCAAATCACAGCACTGCACCAGCTACTAGGAAGAAAATTAAGTCTATCCTAGCTGAGTTAGTTACTTCGTCTTGTTGAGACAGTAATGGAATAAGAAGGCAGCCTAGGTTCAAATAAAATATTCTTTCAACTCCTTAGGATAGGGGCTTAGATGAAATTCCACTGTGTGGCTGGACAAGGCACTGTCACCAGAGACCTGGAGTGTGCCTGCAATTCATTGTATTGTCAAGCCTCTCACACTGCTGATTCCTGGTGAGAAAGAAGCTTTGCCTTACAACACATGGAAATCACTTCCATGCCTCACAACAGCAAACCTTTTCCCCTACAAGATCATGGTTGGTTGATTGTTTCTGTAGATCTCAGAAGAAAGACCTGTGCCTGCTAAATGATGCTTGGTAGGTGCTCAATATGCATGAGAGATGTTGTGGGAGGGTTGGGTTTTGTATTTAAATGTAGATTTGTACCAACCTGGTTCCCAGGCGACGAGTCCTCAGCCCCATGAACACTGAGCGGATCAGCTTCCCGAAGGAAGCAGCATTCACTGGATCCAGTTTGTGCTCCTGGCAGTGCCGCAGGTAATGGTTGTAGAGGGAGCTCCTGGGAAGGCTGACGCCTTCCGCTGTCTCGTAGTTGTCCAACAACCACTGGAGCTTTATGTGTGGAAAACATAAAGAAAGAACACATGAAAGTCTAAAGAGAGCTGGAATGGGCTTCGTCAATGTCAATGCCTAAATGTCAGGACAGCCCATCTGCCCTTTCAAGAGAGCTTCATGCTGGGTGGTTCACTTTTGTAAGTTCATTTGTATAGCTTACGCCAGTTTCATTTTGATAAAAGGACCCCCAGCCCAAAGCTCATCACCCAAACAGGCTTTGTAAGAGCATCACAACCCAGCAAAGTGTCCACCTTGGCTTCAGATGAATTCCTGCAGAGCCAAAATCAAGCTGTAAAAACTCACGTTTTCCAGGAATAAAGATATTAAGATACTGCCTCAGAGGAATAAATTTTAGGGGAATCAAATACGCTGCAAAGTCTTCATTAACGTGAAGATTGGCATGTCTGCAAGTGTTCCCTTACCAGTAACATTAACAGTTACCAAAGCAACCTTCAAAATCTGAGGGGGTCCATCTATTTTTCAGATGTCTCCTGACATTTCTGTTGATGAAAGTCTGCAATGAATCTGAATCCAGCCCTGCACCCCTGCCTGCACAGGAGGCACAGCTCACCAGACACAGCTACATTCCCACATCAGTGGCAAAACAGACTTGGGTTATGGATGCCAAAATATCAGTCACATCATTTGCTCACAACAAACAGTTTAAGCACATGTTGTAATTAAGAACAAACTGAATCTAGAAATCAACAGGATTTAACCATGCACAGGGATGCACAAGTTGGCTTGTACTTAAGTCCTCTCCTCCCCTACTCCAGTATCTGGCTGTTTTCTACCATTTTCTCTTGGTGAAACTCTGGGGTACTAATTCGTAACTCCACTTACATTTTATATCCATAGCTCTGTGAAAACACCACCTGAAATGTGAGGGGCATCTCTGACACCTCACTCCAGTGAGTTATTTTCAGTTTATTTATCTTATACCCAACATTGCTCTCACAAAAAGCCTTTTCAGCACTTACAAATGTATGTTCTGTGGTTATCATTCATGTACCCAAATCTAAACTTCTGCTACAGAAAATGAGCTGAATCCAAAACTGTACAGTTGAAAAGATTTCATTCATTATTTGGGTTTGATCCAAAGCAACCACAAGCTCAAAAGACTGGCTCCATCAGTTTTGGTGGCCTATGGAGCAGAACAGGGGCTGCCACAGCCATAAGAAGAAAAACCTCTTGGCCATTTTCCTTCTGTCTTTTCAGAGAGCTACTTGTCATCTTCCCACCTTCCTCCACTTACTCATCACCTAAGTCACTCTTTGGTGTGTTATTCCACAGATGAAGATCTTTCTGGCCTCCAAACCCTACAGTCCTAAAGGGTGGTGTTTGCTAAGGACCTGTGTCCCAAGAGACACCACTGAGAAGCCCCCAAAAGCTGTTCTCTAGCCCTGAGCCTGTCCCATCCATTAAGCCAGCGCTAAGAAAAGTGGACCCAGGTGTTTGTGACACAAAAGTTCAATTTTAAGTGGTCCAAATCTGTGCTAACTTCAGCCCATCTCCTCTATTTAAAAGATTCATGATTAAGAAGGTTCTTTTCTCTTTTTTTTTAAACCACTTATGGAGCTGTTGGAACAAGTCCAGAGGAGGCCACCAGGATGAGCAGGGCCTGGAGCACCTCTCCTATGGAGACAGGCTGGGAACATTGGGGCTGTTCAGCCTGGAGAAGAGAAGCTGCTGGAGACCTCAGAGCAGCTTCCAGTGTCTGAAGGGGGCTACAAGGATGCTGGAGAGGGACCTTCATCAGGGACTGGAGCAACAGGACAAGGGGTGATGGGTTCAAACTGAAACAGGGGAAGTTCAGGTTGGAGATAAGGAAGTTCTTCCCTGTGAGGGTGCTGAGGCGCTGGCACAGGGTGCCCAGAGAAGCTGTGGCTGGCCCCTCCCTGGGCCTGGTTAAGGGCCA